CCATTCACCCCATGCAAGGAGGTGACTGCAACTAATAGAAGCTTCCTCTCCCCGGCACCTACCACCAGCTTAGGTTTAGTACCAAAGGAATATTCTCTCTTCCACCACTATAGGAGGAGGCTATTGAGAGAGTTATTTCCTCCTTTCCAGAAAGGACAGAAGGGAAGAAATCTGACTGGGGCCAGCTCCCACGCTACAGGGTCCTTACAGAGAGCAAGCAGGGGCCCTGATGAAGACGCCCAATACCAGTCTGGCTACTGAAGGATTCAAGCTCTGAGGCACCGTGAACATCATTTCTTAGGATAGGAGCTCAGCAGAGCACTAGCACTACCAGTAATTCATTATCAAACCTAAAGCGTCTCCCATACAGAGAGGAACAGAAACACAGCCATGGGCCACATATAGCCGGTGGGCTATATAATCAGTAAAAAACACAACGAAATCCTGAGCTACAAATGGCTTTGATTCCATTCAACAGCTTCACTCTGCCCAGCTCTACTCATTTCTCCCCTATTATACATGCTTAGTCCTCTTTCAGACTGCGATCCTCCCTCTTAGCTACAGCTTTCATTGCAGCTACTGGTGACAACTATTAGAGGTCAGAGTTTGACACCTGTCATTAGCAATCACATAGTTTCAAGATAACCAGTCTGAGGGCACGTTAGCTTAATTATTTTCTTTCACTGGTAGTGCGTGAGAATTCAGTGATATATTGTTTAATGGATGGAATATACAGGGTAGCTTATTCTCTTAAAAATCGAATAATAACGCTCTGTAGTGGGGTGGTCACCCCACTATAGCCCTGAAGGGGTTAAAACAGCCCTGGGAGAAGGTTGCCTTGGGGAGCCAATAGTAAACACAGCCCTGGAGAGGACTGGGAAAAGCTGAGTGAGTAGCTTATCACAGGTGTGGCCAGCTCAATCAGAGCCCAGCTGGCCCTTATAAGAGGGCTGTGAGCCAGAAGCAGAAAGAGGAGTCTCACTCTATCCCTGGAGTGGGAAGGGCTAGCTGCCAGGGACCCAGACCCAGACCCAGACCCAGACCCAGACCCACCCAGACCCAGACCCAGACCCGTGCTGGGGAAGGGCAAAGGGAGCTGGGGAGCTCCAGCCTGGTAAACCCCCAGGCTGCAGGCTTTGGTAAAGGCCCAGAAAGGTACTGGGGCTGCAGAGGGGCAGCCTGGGAATAGGCGGAGGCAGCTGGTCCTCACCCCTTGTCAATGATGAGTGGCCATTACACTGCAGTCTGCCCCAGTGAGCGAGGGTTAGATGACGACTGGCACTTGCCACTGAGGCAAGGTGGGTTCAGAGGGTTGGGTTTTCCCCAGGGAGGAGAGACCCAGAGTGTGGGGGGTACTGTTGGGGCAGAACCCCAGGGTAAAGGGCACCGGGGTCCAGGAGGGACACCGGCCTGCAGAGGGTGCTCCGAAGGCTGGAAAGAGCTAATTCCCACATGACCATCAGGAGGCGCTGCACCAGTGAGTTGTCACATCGCTACACAATATCTTTAGTAATACAGCAACAGATACAATGGAAACTTGCATTATAGCTGCTGAAGGAGTTCATTAGCACTTTGCTACTCATTTGCTCAGAGTAAGCAGGCCGAGTGCTCCCTAAAGTCAGGAGTCAGACAACACAACCAAGAGCAGAACAAATATGTTGAAACTAAAGTAATAGTTTCACTTTATTAGGTTTATCAGTAATTCTGTCACTCAGCAGGATGCATCATCAGAGCTCCATGTAGCACAGCATCTTCTTGACAAGAAGAATCTAAGAAATCATGGATAACAGGTATGAGATGAAAGGTGTGATAATTAAGAAACAAAATTAAATACAAAAATCTACACTTAAAATACATCATGGAGCTGATTAATGCACCCTCGAGCAAGGAAATTCTGAGTCTACACATGGCTGATGTTATCAATTGTCTTAAATGGTGGATGATCTTCTGAAAAAGTGGGGAGGGGTGTGTGTGTATATAGATCCTGGGATCACTAAATACTAGAATTTTTATCATATCCATTAGTAAAGAAAAGTTTCGATGGAGATATGGATGCTGTAAAAAACTAAAGAGATCTTAAGATTTTTGATTTGTAACATGACATTAATTTTCACATCACTGACACTTTAATAGCCAAGTGAAGGGTCAAATTACAGAGGATTTAAAAATCTTCATATGTTTTTTTGTTTAACATATATTCTTTCACATATTTGCAAGCACCTCTTCTTGCAGGGGGAGCTGATGTAACATAACAAAGCTTTATGAAAAGTGAACTCTGCTCATGTACAGTCATCACTGAGAGAGGGCCCCACTCTATAGAAAGGGAAGTTTGTGATATACTGCAAATAGGAGTGAAAAAATAAGTAATGTTCATGTGTAACCAGCACTCAGACACCTGATTATGCCACATTGCCACTTCTCATTTCTGCTGGACAAAAACAACCTGAGGAAAAGAAGCTTTATATCTCATTTTCATGCTACCTATCTCAGCCCACTGAAACACTGTGTACAGCATATTTCAAGTATCCAAGTTGTGTACTTTTCACCCTAACACCAAAACACACATAAAAATCCCTAAAAAGAAGTAACTGCTCTTAATATTTAGTTTAAATTAGGGTGGCTTTAACCAAAAATGGATGAAAAATATTTAAAACACCAAGAATTTAATAGTGAGAGATTTTGTTTGTTCTTTTGCTGTGTAGCTCAAAAACCAGTACTCACACTGAACTAAAAACAAAGCAACTCCAGAAACAATTGCAGACCAGATTTTACTTTGTCATCCTATGAAATAATCTCTTTACCAAACTCTGCTCTCTGTACTTACAGTATACGCTGTTCAGTATGCCATTTTCACAGTGAAAGAAAACACTACCCATATCCTCAACATACTTCCTCCACATATATTTCTATGTAACTCCTTGGGGTTTAGAGAGCATGGCCCCCTTAAATCTTTTTCCTGTGGGGAGGGGGATCAGTGAGAGAAAGGAGGGAAACTTGGGGTGTGGCTCTGAAGCCCCGGGAGAGAAGGGCTGCAGCCGGGAGGCCCTGGACAAAGTGAAGGGGAGAGAACCTGTCTGAAGCTTGGGAAGGACAGGGCGGCTGATCGGGGACACCCCAGGACAGGAGCCAGGAGGAGCACTGTGCCAGGGAGGAATCGCCTAAGAAGGACAGGCCAGAGCTGGACCCAGTATCACTGCTGCCCAGAGCTGCATGGGGCGGTGAGTACTGGGGCTTGTGACTCTGCATTGGAAATAAAGAGGGAGGCTGCTAGCTTAAGTGGGGAGGTTGTTGCTCTGTGTAGCTTTGCAGAGAGTGGAAGAAGGGAGCACCGGAGGGGTTGGTTGGGGAAAGTTCACTGGTGCGGAAGACGAGCAGGAGCACCCAAGACTCACCATTGAACTGGAACTTTGCTCAGGACTCCTGAACTCTGTGTGAAGACACATTGCTCGGTGTCAGCCCTTTCAGACTGTGCTACCATTGAGCCTGTGCGGCTTTGGTTTCGATGCAACCCTGTTCTACTGCTCCCCCTACATTTCCTCTTGTTGCTTTTCTCCTCTCATCCCTCGGCAAATAAATATCTCCCTTTGTTATATCCATTGTACTTTTCCTGGGGGTGGGTGTGTTCACTCTGGGGGGTTTGGCACAGGTGCCCCTGGGGTGCAAGGAATTTTTCCTGCGCGCGCCGTCTTTTGGCCAGCACTGCCTGCAGGGCCGGTGTAAGCACTAGGCGATATAGGCGGCCGCCAAGATTTGGGGGCACCAAAAAGCGGTGCCCCAAATTTTTTTTTTACACTATTGCTGGAAAACGAATGAATAAAGAAAAGAGAAACGTCGTTGAAATTGCATTTTAACTTGTCATTCTCTTGTACATTCTAGCTATAGCCTACACCAGCTCTGCGGTGCGGGCACAAGCGTACTGCTTCACTATGGTACAAAGCGGCAATGATGTCATTCTTCTCGTCGCACGCAGCCATTACCCGTTCTGACAGGCTGTTTTATCATGCTACGTTTACTAGTTTTCGGAGCTTGTCGACTGAGGCTAACTATTTTTGTTGAGTTGTTTCAGATCTAAGACTCTGGCAATTGCTGCTGCATCATTTCGCTAATACTTTGTGTCAATTGTGTGTGTATGTTTAGTATTTGAGTGTATATGTTTATCATGTGCGAATATCCGTGTGTAGGTTGTTGAAATTTGTTATATTGATATTGTCAGTTGTTGCTGTGTGACGGAGTATCCGCCATTCTAATTTTATAAATTTTATTAACAATAATTGGATATTCTAAAGGTAGAATAAAATGTAGTAGATTTTGATATGAAAGAATGAAGGAAGGAAGTATACATGACTAAAAAGAGTATTTTCGATTACAATCAACATTGCTTAATTTTAAGGAAAAGTCATCTTGATCTCTTAATCATTGTGCAGTATTCATTTTTGAAAGTTTATAATAAGCGATGCTCCCCGGGGAGGGGTGGAGGGGCGCAAGATGGAAGTTTTGCCTAGGGCGCAAAATATCCTTGCACCGGCCCTGGCAGCCTACAGGAGCAGACTCCATCTTGGCCACGAGGGCGCTAAAGTTACATCTATAAAAAGCAAAGAAGAGTCAAGCAGGCTTTGCACTACTTAGGATACGGTGCAGCATAACTCCACTCTGAAGAATTACAAGGTAAAAGGGGGAACGCATACCCAATGATGGAATTGCTAGCACCAAGAATAACCTGCGTATAGAATGCAATCACATCAACACAGTTCTCCACTAGTGGGGGAAAAAAACAGTGAACCAGCTCAGGAAATCACTGCTGTTTCAGTAAGTGTCAGTTAAATATTGATTGGAGTCAGTCAATATTTCGCTTGTCCAAGAACCTGAAAGTAGGGAAGATAGTGATAAAGCAAAAGGTAATTTATGGAGCATCTGATACACATCACTGTGCTGCACAAATAGTACTGAGCTAGGACCTAGTTAGCACTTGATATTCATGAAAAAAATACATAGAATCAAACCTGTGACCAGTTCTCTGATTTCCAAATCTGTAGTCTTGCGGAGCAAGCGTACTAATGCTGGGATACCACCACAGTTTTTCAGAGAAATTTTGTTGTCATCATTTGCTTTCCCATACACCAAGTTTCTCAAAGCTCCACAGGCACTACGGTGGACTTCTGTCATTCGATGATCCAACAGGTCCACCAGTAACTGTATTCCTCCTTGTCTTCTTATCTGAAACAGCCAAAAGTGACAACCAAGGTATTAGGGAACGAGCAGGTGCAGTGCACACATTATTCAGTTTAATAGATAGTGGTGCTCAAATTAAGAGTATGCATAGCACTTGCTTGTGGTCCAAGAACAGCTGCAAGTTGATATGGTGCTGGCTCCTTCCCTTTGATAACATTGAAAGCAAAGCTCGTTCCAGTGAAGATTCTGGACAACTGTTAAAGCAACTAAATCAATGAGGAGCCAAAACAGTTGTCTCAACAAGGGACTTCTGCATTGGTCCAGTAAGCCTAATTTCATTACCAGGCAAATTGGTTGAAACTATAGTAAAGAACAGAATTGTCAGAAACAAAGCTGAACAGAACATGTTGCAGAAGAGTCAACACGGCTTTTGTAAAGAGAAATTGTGCCTCACCAATCTATTAGAATCCTTTGATGGGGTCAATAAACATGAGGGCAAGGGTGATATAGTATGCCTGAACTTTCAGACAGCCTTTGACAAGATTCCACACCAAAGGCTCTTAAGCAAAGTAACCAGTCATGGGATAAGATGGAAGGTCCTCTCACTGATCAGTAACTGATTAAAAGATATAAAACCATTTCAACATATTCATAACTGATCTGGAGAAAATGGTAAACAGTGAGGAGGCAAAGTTTGCAGATGATGCAAAATTACTCAAGATAATTAAGTCCAAAGCTGACTACAAAGAGTTACAAGGGATTTCACTAAACTGGGTGGCTGGGCAACAAAATGGCAGATGAAATTCAATGTTGATAAACGCAAAGTAATTCACATTGGAAAACATAATCACAACTATACATACAAAATGATGGGGACTAAATTAGCTGTTACCATTCTAGAAACAGATCTTGACGTCATTATCGATAGTTCTCTAAAAACATCTGATCATTGTACAAGCGGCTGTCAAAAAAGTCAGAGTGTCAAAAAAGAGTGTCAGTATCCATTAGGAAAGGGATAATTAATAAGACAGAAAATATCATAATGCCACTATATAAATCCATGATATGCCTACACCTAGAATACTGAATGCAGGTCTGGTCACCCCAGCTCAAAAAAAAAAAAATAGAATTGGAAAAAGTACAAAAAAGGGCAATAAAAATGATTAGGGGTCTGGAATAGTTTCCATATCTGGAGAAGTTAAAAAGGTTGGAACTAAGCAGGGATACGATAGAGGTTTATAAAATCATGAATGGTGTGGAGAAAGTGACTAAAAGGAAATGTTATTTACTCCTTCACATAACGCACGAACCAAGGGCCACTCAATGAAATTAATAAATAGCAGGTTTAAAACAAACATGGGGAGTACTTTTTCATATAACTCAGTCAACATCTGGAATTTATTTCCAGGAGATGTTGTAAAGGCCAAAAGTATAATTTGGTTCAAAAAATAATGAAATAAGTTCACGAAGGATACGTCTATCAATGGCTATTAGCCAAGATGGTCAGAGGTGCAACCCCATGATCTGTGTGTCCCTAAACCTCTGACTGCCAGAAGCTGTGAGTGGATGACAGAGGCTGGATCACTAAGTAATTGTCTTGTTCTGTTCATTCCCTCTGAATCATTTGGCACTGACCACTGTTGGAAGACAGGATACTGGGCTAATAGACCACTGGTCCATACATTCTTATGTAGTAAATTATAATTATTTGTTAAAGTATGAATAATGTTGTGTGTGTTCATACATTTAGTCAATTTATCTGAAACCAAGAATGCAAGACACTTTCATTCCTTTTAAAATATGTACCTTTTTCAGTGTCAAAATTTGAGCATTAAAAATTATATGCTAGTGAAATAAGAGTCATCACTTTTCTGCTCCCTATGTACTATGGCACATCATCACATCATTGTTTTAGGATATGAATCATATAATACAAAGTGCCTCAATAGAGAGATGCAGGTACATCGTGTTAATTTTTTTTTTTTCCGTTTACAGAAGAGAACACTCTCGTCCATATAATATTCACATTACAAAGAATAAAGTATTTAAATTAATAACACTTTAATGTATGCAGCACTGTGGTAACAAAGCCTAGGTACAGAAGGCAGATAGTAATTATTTGAAGATAGCCTATATTTTTCCCAGAGTATTAATTACCATTCAGTGTTCCCTACATGGTGTTCACCTGTCTAGGCATTCTGTAGACTATCTATAAAGCACATTGGTCAGTGGTAAAACCAGAGGTTGACTATGGTTGTGAATGGATAATGGTACATAACATCAGACTCATGTCAGGAGTTCATTCATCTCTCTGTCACTCTGTGCTTGTGTGCAACCTGGAGGAACACTGATGCCTTTCAGTTCAGAAAACAGAAAAACAGATAAAGAATATGTTCTGCAATATATCTGACTGATCCAAAACTCAACTACTGCAAATATGATCATTTGCAATGAAAGGTATTTGCCACTTTCTAAATCAGATACTTTTACTGAGGAGAAATATTCACTCTTGAATCCATCACCAACCCTTTGAATCAAACATATCAGCTTTTTCTAATAAATCATATTTTCAAACCTGATGTGTTGCATGAGGAACAGCTACATCACCCACTTGACTCAATATGCAACATTTACTGAAATAGACTAAGAACTGAACTTAATATATCAAGCACTAAACTTGATACATCAGTTCAGTAAAAGGTACATGAAGTACTGAATTTGATATTTCAGTCTTCAGAGAGATGTGATTTGATAAAAGATAATGAGAGAAAACATTTGGATTAATAGAAAATATACCCAGTGTATCACTCGTTTTGCTATGATGTGTGACATCAGTAACAATGGAATGAAAAACAGAGATCATAGGGCTGGATCAGAGGGTTTTAAAATAAAATATGTGCAAAATGATTTTTGATAAGTACTTCAATGATTGCTTAGAAAAAGATTGAAATAGTGATGGGAACAAAAAGGAATTTCAAGCAAGTACACCTAGAATAAACATTTTTCATGTATGTGATAGGTTTCAGAGTAACAGCCGTGTTAGTCTGTATTTGCAAAAAGAAAAGGAGTACTTGTGGCACCTTAGAGACTAACCAATTTATTTGAGCATAAGCTTTCGTGAGCTACAGCTCACTTCATTGGATGCATACTGTGGAAACTGCAGAAGACATTATATACACAGAGACCATGAAACTATACCTCCTCCCACCCCACTCTCCTGCTGGTAACAGCTTATATTAAACACCTTCTGCAGTTTCCACAGTATGCATCCGATGAAGTGAGCTGTAGCTCACGAAAGCTTATGCTCAAATAAATTGGTTAGTCTCTAAGGTGCCACAAGTACTCCTTTTCTTTTCATGTATGTGATATAACTCATCTGATGACCTCAAAGGGGGCTCTGTCACAGCACCTGTGATCTCTGTCCCAGTTTGTGCATGGACATTATTTCCAAGTGAACCTCTCCCAGAGTGGAACCCTGTGGTTCACCCTGCTCTAGATTGGATCATCAGGATACACCCCACTATTCTCCCCCCCCCACACACACACACTTTTTACCAACTGGACTGTCACAGTTGCAGGGAGAATGGTGCCTTAGACCCCATTCCCCCTTGGCAATCCTTCTCGAGTGCACGGCTTAGGTGATAGGTTTTGCTACCTTCACCTCCCTCTGGGTGGAACCTGCAGTTGCACCACTCTTAGACTGGATCCCTAGGTGGCAAGCCCCCCTGTTTCCAACCATGATAACTCATCAGGCCCGAATGGACTGGGTACCTGCAAGCAACTTCCCTCTGGGAATCTCTGACCAGTGGCTGATTACAGGGATACGAAACAGATTATTCAAAACAAACGTACTGTACATTCACCCAAAGATATATAGCAATCAGATAAAAGTGAACAATATAGCATGATAGCCACAACAATAATAATTAATAATAATACCACCTAGCTCTTATATTGTGTTTTTCCATCAGCAGGGCTTAAGGTGCATTACAAAGTAGGTCATTATCCCTATTTTACAGATGAGTAAACACAAGCCTAAATGCCTTGGAACTTACCTAAACCTTAACATTCCCTCGCATGTTTTGGTAAGTTCTACTTAGGTCAGGTACCTCCACCTCTGGGCTGGGAGAGAGAAACTCTCCCACTGCAGATGCTGTTGTCAGTAACTCTACATCTGTGTCTCCCATCAGCAACTTCCCTGGAGCAGCTGTTGACAACTCACCCACCCGCAACTTTTTTTGTGTGTCATTTTGATCTCTAAGCTTGTTGCCTCAGCAAAGCGGCTGAGTCACTTGTATAGGAGCCTGAAAATCACCTCTTCACAGCTCAGCTGTTGACTTTTGAGGGTTTGCCATCCTGTTCCTTACTTGGACTATTGTGTTGCCTCCTTACTTTTTTACCCAACAGCTCACTATTAAACTGTAGCAGTAAATTCCCACCTTCCAATAGCCCAATATAGCTATGCATTGACTATCTTAACAGGTACGTCACATAATCATAAAATTAGTATAGATGAACATCCCCAGTCTCTATAAACATTAGTTAATTAAGACTCATAACCCTCTTATGCGGTATAACGAAGGATTATTATCTCCTGTTTACAGTTAGAGAAACTGAGGCACAGGAAACTAAAATAATTTGCTCGTGGTCCTAGAAGGAGTTTCAGACATAGCTCAGAGAAGTCAGACATCCTGAGTTCCAGAGGCAAATACTCAGCTGTTGTAAACTGTTATAGCTTCACTGACTTCAATAGATCTTTGGCCTAAGGTACCTTGATAGACAGATACATGAGGATTTGCATAAGCTAAGGTTCAGAACCTACTCTGTATGGACATAAAAACTGACAAGGGTTTGCGCTGTGCCTCTCTTCAGGTGAGATGATGAGATAATTGTTAGGTGCAATACTTACTAATACACAAGTGGCTGCTTTTTTACTTCATTCACAAGGCAAAATGAGCATGTATGCAGACAGGCTGTTTGCTCACCACCACAAATGATTAGTGTAGCACCGGATCACCTAAAACTCAGGGGCCAAACTCTGCACT